TAGTAGCAGTAGTAGTAGTAGTAGCAGTAGTAGTAGTAGTAGTAGTAGTAGTAATAATCGTAATAGTAATAGTAGTGGTAGTTGTAGTAGTAGTAGTAGTAGTAGTAGTAGAAGTAGTAGCAGTAGCAGCAGTAGCTGCAGCAGCAGGAGTTGTAGCAGCAATAGTAGTTGGAAGAGGAGGAGGAGTCTGAGTGGAACCAGTACTAGCACAAGCACCCGCAGCGATAAGAGCGATAAGAGCAGCATCAGCTGTAGGCGCAGCAGCACAAGGAGCTGGAGTTCCAATAGGCAGGGTGATGCCAGAGGATAACCTGAAGTGTGCAGGCCCTGCTTGCCGAAGTTCCCAGCTGAATCAGCCAGATTTTGCAGACTTTCTTGGTGTCATTTTGTACAGAGATGCAGCCATGTGCCAACTATGAGGCCTTGGCAAAGAATCGCAGATTATCAGGTGTCCAGCTTTGGCTGCGTTGCTCTCGGTGTACGGCTGCATTTTTCAGAAGGGGACTTCTGTTCACATTTCTCACAGGGCCCAAGCCATGATAGCAATCCAGTCTGGAATACTAGACATAAAGACATTTAGCAATGGGGGCACCGGTAGTAAACCCTTCAAAATGACCTGCCTCTATCCTTTTAGCAGCAATGACAGCCGCTACGCAAACAGAAAAGCAATGGTTTTCAAAGGGTGTCGGAAAGAGACGGCAAACGCAAACCCATGCTGACAACAGCCTGCTACTCTGGCAGCAGTAACAGTAGTCATACTGGGAGATCATTAAGTCTCAGAGGCGGTTATGCGTCGTCGTCAGTCATGGTCAGGGGGTATCCAGACTTTTCATAGCAATGGTCTAGGAACAACAATCCCTAAACCGCCAAACCCTAAAACCCTAAACCCTAAAACCCTAAACCGCAACACCCAAACACTCTAAAGCCCTAAACCCTGAACCCTAAAACACTAAATCCCTAAACCCCTAAACCCTAAACCCTAAACCCCTAAACCCTAAATCCCTAAACCCTAAAACCCTGAACCCTCGACCTGCAGAACAAGGAATGATCAAGGCCGGTCTTCCCAGCGAAGCTTATCGGAGCAGAAACTTAAGAAAAGTTGCGGTTTAGGGTTTAGAGTTTAGGGTTTAGAGTTTAGGGTTTAGAGTTTAGGGTTTAGAGTTTAGGGTTTAGAGTTTAGGGTTTGGAGTTTAGGGTTCAGAGTTTAGGGTTTAGCGACTTTTTCAGGTTGGTTCAATGGCCCATTCTCTCAAGATTCATATAGGTGGTTCTCTACATTAGGGTCCTTTTGCAAGGGTGCCGTGCTATTTGGGGACCTATAGGGGGACCTTAACTTAGAGAACTACCCATACAAGGGTCGGCATAAATACGGATACTCTCCCATGTAGTCCTCCCCTGCACCCCATCCTACTCCCCTAAGTATTAATGTGGCGTACCTGGTTGGGAGGTCCTTGTGTTTGTTGAAACACTGCAACCCCACGCAAGGTCCACATACCCGTAAAGGTCCCAAAAACCATACAACGCTCAGAACTGAAACTCCGCGGAATGCCTAGAAAAGTCATGGCCCTAAATCCTAAACCCTAAACCCCCTAAACCCCAAAGAATGCCTAGAAAAGTCACGGTACAACCGAAGCGCCTTGGTCTGTTAAGTACTTGGAGGATCATGGGACTTAGTAACTAGGGTTTTAAATAAGGTAACTACAATTATAACCCCAATCAGGGTACTTATGACCGTTTATAACCTTACTTACTAAGTCCCATGATCCTCCGAGTAAGCTTAAGAAAGTCTTGTAAGACCCTCTGTCGCGTAGTAAAGCCCTTATAAAGCAACTCCCCCCTCCTCCCTCTTGGCGGAAAACAGCCGCTTCACAGGGGCTCATCGGCTTTTTGGGGATGTTCCCAAGGCTTTCTTTCTGTTTGGTTCTATGGCATTAGGGGTCTAGTGCCATGGGGTTTAGGTTTGAGGTCTAGGGCCTAGGGGTGGAGTTTGGGTTGTAAGGTCTGCAGCAAGGCTTTGAGAGCAGAAATGCTGTCCGTACTATCACAGCACCAGGGCTCGACGGGACTTCCACTCCCCGCTCTTCACCTGGCTTGGGGATAGGGTGGGACTCATTTCTGTTTCAGTTTGCTGTTTGAGGTTTAGTGGACCTGTGTGTTAAGGACATTTCGGCTTATTCCTGCGCCCTGAACCCCAAACCATCCTGAATCAGCCTGAACCCCACGGGATTGAAAGGTTTCTGTTCCTCAGGGAAAAGGGTTTAGGGCCGTTTTAAGCTGGTTGTTGTTTAGGGGCCCCAAAACCTTATTTCTAGTTCTGAGCCTCAACGCATCGGGGTGTTATAGCGCTGGACATGCTTTCAGGCTGTGTCAGGCACGTGCATCTTACTATAAATTGTTCAGTGCATCCATAGTTCGGCATGCATCGGAATATTGTCGCACTGCAAAATAATTTCCACACCCTGGACGATCCCATTCTCGCTTGCCACGGGATGGAAGTTGGTGGGAGACATGGATTCCCGGATAAACTTGCAGTCTGCTTCTCCACGGCAACAGCCGTTCCTGGAGCATCCTGCGCCCACTGCTGTGCTGGTCCCTTCCGTAATAGATTTAAGCAAAGTCGTGGATGAAAGCATGGTATGCAGCCGACAGCCTGCATGTCGCACCGAAAAACTGAAACCCCATGAGCCAAATGAACATACCGGCTCACGCAGCGGTTGCAGAGTGACTCACTGGTGCATGGGCACCGTGCTCCCCGATTTCTTCGTAGGTGTTTCACACTATCACTATCCTTCGAGCCGTGCAGTTACAACTGCCCTTGCCACTGCACCCAGACAGGGTTCCAGGCAGGGAGAGTGGGAGGCGCTATGCAAGAGATGGTGTGTCACAGTTTTAAGTTTTACGCACCTTTTATACGTTATCCGCACCTCAACACAGTGACTAACCCCACTTCTACACCACTTACTACCACCTTTTCCACCAAAACTTGGCCTTTCAGTCCGCTGCCGCTCAGGGAAGCACAAAAAGCAGGCGTTCGGGTTTAGGGGTTTGGGGTTTCGGGTTCAGGGCCTCTTTGCCTTGGCACAGTGGCCGGCAATTCAGTGCTGCTTAAAGGTTGAGGTCTGGCTTGCTTGTCAGGGCATCACTTTATGGCCTGGGTAGGGTTTAGGGCTTAAAAGTTTAGGGTTTAGGGTTTAGAGTGAGCCCTAAGGCCTAAACCTATTTAGCTTGAGCCTGTTTCAATACTTGGGGCACATGGGGTTAAGCAAGTTCAAGCCGACCGTCAATGAATGAGTAGGGGATCGGACCATCCTCCTGGGGTATGCGGTAGTATACAAAATGTATATGGGGGTTTCCGAAAATAGGGGACCCTAATATAGTACCCTAATTAATAGGATCCCTATTATAAGGACCCCAAAATAAGGTACCCCAATTTTCTGAAACTCCCATATAAGGCTAAGTTAAAGGCTCTAGGAACTGAATATAGGCCTGATTTAGGGGATTGCAGGGACGTAGTACTCGCAACTTCGCTGCTGTCCTGGCCAGGTCGACCATCGCCCTGACGTATTTGTCGTAACCGGTTAGGGTAACAGAGGTAGGGGAGATCAGGAATTCGGAATAGTATCCCTTCATAGTCCCCATACACGAACATACTTCTACTGCAATACACCCAAGACCTTCTTCTAATTAGTAAGCCGCTATAGTCCCTACAGTACCCCAGACCCTAAACCTCGGGGAGCAAACAAGGTGTGCGTTGCTACATGGGTGGTTGTCCAAATTATGGTCCCTTTT